CCAAAACAATTAACACATTCATCACCTCACATAGTTAACTCTTTTGCTTCATTACCTCTAGACAACTGGATATCTAACAACTACAATAAAGCAAGGAAAAGGGGAAAAATCATAAATATTGGAATCCCATTATTCAAAAATGATTTTATTTCCTTCTACATATTTGAAGAGATTGAATTTTCTAGCTTTTTCCTAATTTCCTTAGAACTTAGTTCACTTATCTATAGCCTATCTTCTAATATATACATGCAAAGCTAAAAAAGAAATAAAAAATCCCTCTAAACATGGTTTTAGCTGCACACTACAAGTTTTTATGCATAAATCTCTATTATTCTATTTAAAATATTTCCTAATTTCCGTTTAATTTCTTTTTTTGATCTATTATTCAAATGTATATTTCTTAATACTCAAATATTTGGAGATTTTCTAATTAACTTTTGGATAGCAAGCTTAAATGCATTGTGACCAAATAATAATCTGAATGATTTTAATTCTCTAAAAGTGGTGTAAATTCACTTTTATATCCTTATTAATCCCACGTTTGTTTTTTCAGTTACTGAGATATCTGTGTTAAACTCTCTTACTATAATTACGTATTTCTCCTTTTAATTCTGCCAATTTTTGTTTTAAATCTGTTATTAGGGATCCCTGGGTGGCGCAGCGGTTTAGCGCCTGCCTTTGGCCAAGGGCGCGATCCTGGAGACCCGGGATCGAGTCCCACATCGGGCTCCCGGTGCATGGAGCCTGCTTCTCCCTCTCCCTCTCCCTCTGCCTATGTCTCTGCCTCTCTCTCTCTCTCTCCTCTCTCTCTGTGACTATCATAAATAAATAAATAAATAAATAAATAAATAAATAAATAAATAAATAAATAAATAAATATTTAAAAAAATCTGTTATTAGAGGGGCACCTGGGTGGTTCAGTTGGTAAAGTTTCTGCCTTTGGCTCAGGTCATGATCTCAGGGTCCTGGGATGGAGCCCCACACTGGGCTCCCTGCTGGATGGAAAGTCTGCTCCTCCCTCCCTTTTTTGCTCCTCCCCTCGTTTGTGCTTTTTTTGTCTCTAATAAACAAATAAAAACTTCAAGAAATGTAAATCTGTTATTAGAATTATTTTTTGTTAAATGATTTATCATTACGAAGTGCCCCTCCTTCATCCCTAATCATGCTTTTTTGCCTTAAAGTCTACTCTGGCTGAATATTAATATATCCACATTCAGAACAGTTTTCTTTTGTTTAGTCTCTTTTTTAAAATTCTGGCTAAAAAAAGCACAGCATAAAACTTACCATCTTAACCATTTCTAAGAGCATAAGTTCAGTAGTGTTAAGTATATTCATCTTATTATACAACTAATCTCCAGAACTTTTTCATCTTACAAAACTACATCTCTGTATCTATTAAGCAACAACTCCCCATAACTCATTATACTCCATAACCCCCAAACTCCTAACAATCACCATTCTACTTTCTGTGACTTTAACTATTGAAGATACCTTCTATAAGTGGGATCATGTATTATATGTATTTTTATGACTGGCTTATTTCACTTAGCATAATGTTCTTAAGGTTTATCCATACTGCAACATGCAGTGACCAGTCTTTTAATTTAATAGCTTCCCTGGAGATTATAACATCTATTTGTGACTTGCAAAATTATACTATTAATTGGCAGTTTTACTCTCTTCCTTGATAAAGCAAGGAAGTATATGCCTCTCCTAATTTATAGGCCATGACTACTTTGTAAGTTAATTCTCTGTGTATTTTTTTGTTTTTGTTTTTTAAGATTTATTTGAGAGAGTGAATGAGTTGGGGGAAGGGCAGAGAGAGAAAATCTTCATATAGACTCTCTGCTGAACAGGGAGCCCAACATGGGGTTCAATCTCACAATCCATGAGATCATGACCTCAGCCAAAACAAAGAGTTGGGACGCTCAATCGACTGAGCTGCCCAGGCGCCCCATAATTCTCTATGTGTTTTAAAATCCTAATAAAACTTTCTTATTGTTTTATATAATCAATATTCATTTAGACTTGGCCACGTATTTGTGGTTTGCTTTGCTATTCATGCCTTGTTCCATCTCCAACCTTCCAACTGGGTCATCTTTCTTCTGTATTCAGAATATCTTCAGGATTTTTTCAATAGGGTTCCAATGGTGACATCTTTTTGGTTTTATTTTTGTGTTTTTTTGCTGTTTTTTAAAACTATTTCCGGGCAGCCCGGGTAGCTCAGCGGTTTAGCGCCACCTTCAGTCCAGGGCGTGATCCTGGAGACCCGGGATTGAGTCCCCCATCAGGCTCCCTGCATGGAGCTTGCTTTTCCCTCTGCCTGTGTCTCTGCCCCTCTCTCTCTCTCTCTCTCTCTGTCTCCCATGAATAAATAAATAAAATCTTTTAAAAAAAACTGCTTATTTCCACTTCATTCTAGAAGGATATTTTCACTGTATATGACATGTGTAGAATTGCAGACTGGCAGTTATTTTAATTCAGACCTTTAAAGATATCATCCCACTGTCCTCTGACTTCTATTGTTCCTATTTGAGAAGTTATCTCTAGGTTTGATTGTGATCTTTTTAAAACTGTGTATTTTTTTTCCTCTGGCTGCTTTTAAGATTTTCTGTCTTTGTTTCCTAGAAATTTTACTATGATGTTCCTATGATGTTTACTATGATGTATTCTGCTTGTGATTGATACTTCTTGAATCTGTGGCTTGATGGTTTTCTTGAATTTTGGAAAGTCATCAACAATATCTCCTCAAATACTCTTCCTTATGCTCTTTCTTCTGCAGTTCCCATTACACATATGACATACCTAATCTCTGTAGGCCTCTAAGTCTTTCACCTTCTCTTCTGTATGTCCTCATCTTTTGACTTTCTATGCATGATTTAGTTTTTTCTAACTTATGCTACAGTTCACTGATTCTTCTCAGATAATACCAATCTGTTTTTTAAAACCAGACACTGAGTACATAGTTTCAATTACTGTATTTTTCAGATCTAAAATATGCATTACAAAGTAGTTTGCCAGTTGTCTACTGAATTTCTCCATGCTGTCTTTATTTCCTTGAATCTTTTAAGAATAGTTATTTTAAATCTGGTAACTCCAATATTTAGGTCTCCTGTGTATCTGTTCTATTGTCTAATGTTAGAGACAATATTCCATATTCTTATTGTTACATCCCCTCATGTTTCTAATTATTTTTATTGTGTACTAAACAATCTATTTTTAAAAACTGATAATGAAAGTAATCTGTGAGGATTTCCAGAGAGGATCTATTTGCTTTGCACCTATATTACCTCAAACCAATTTCAGGTACTGAAATAATTTAAAACTAAGTCACAATTCCTACAAGGGTGAGTCATTTCCACTCATCTTTACTACTAGGACTCAGTCTCTTGGGGGGTCCTATGCCAGAGCAAGGTGGGGTGGATGGTCACTAGTTCCTGCTCACACCCTAGAAGGCCCTGAACATCAATCACTGTCCTCTTGGCTCCAGGAATTTGTCACCATTCAGCTTTTCAACTGCTCTATCCTTTTTGCCTATGTTATTCTCCCTTCAAAGTGTTTACCTTCCCTATCTTTGGTCTAATGGATTCTTGCATGCACCAAGCATACCCTTCTGGAATAATTTTGAAAATAATACACTAGAAAAACTTGGGGGGTTTCTTTTTTGTAGTAAGCACATAAATGAGCAGTATAAGAAACAATTTAAACTGGTTCTAAGGACAACCTATTTTTTAAATTGCCTAGGGTAGAAAGATAAGCCACATTTACTTACTTGTTTCCCACCTTTATATTAGATATTTTACCCCTAAAAGGAAAGGAAAAAGAAATATGTGGCCAATTATTTCTAGATATCTTTTGTAGAACAGTCAGCTAGAGCCTAAAATAAAATGTCCTCTTTATTGAACTTCTAAAAAGAGATGGCATTTAAAAAGTATATTAAGAGTATGTGACTTTCAACAAAGAGAATATGGTTGAGAGCAACGAACTAAAAGGCCCAAACACTTGCTTTGGTTCTGTATTAGTTTCCTGTGGCTGCTAAAACAAATTACCACAAATATGGTAGCTCAAACTATGGAAATTTATTGTCATAGTTCTAAAGCCTAGGGATCCCTGGGTGGCACAGCAGTTTGGCGCCTGCCTTTGGCCCAGGGCGCGATCCTGGAGACCCGGGATCGAGTCCCACGTCGGGCTCCCGGTGCATGGAGCCTGCTTCTCCCTCTGCCTGTGTCTCTGCCTCTCTCTCTCTCTCTCTCTCTCTCTCTCTGTGACTATCATAAATAAATACAAATTAAAAAAAAAAAAAGCCTAAATGTCCAAAACCAGTTTCACTGGGCTGAAATGAAGCTAATGGCAAGGTATAGTCATTCTGAAAGCTCTAGAGAATTTGTTCCTTGCCTTTTCCAATTGCTGGTAGGTGTAGGCATTTCTTGGCTTGCCATATCACCCCAATCTCTTGCCCTCATGGTTATGATGCCCTCTCTTCTATCTGAAATCTCCTTCTGCCTCCCCCTTATAAGGATATTTGTGGCTGCACTTAGGGCTCACCTGGATGATCCAGGATAAACTCCCCATCTCAAGATGTTGACAGATAGTAGCTATACCTGTGGTGAACATACAGCATCATGCATAGTTTTCAAATCACTATGCTGTACAACCTGAAACTAATGTAACAATGTGTATCAACTATACTTCAATTAAACTTAATTTTTAAAAAGAAAAAAATCTGAAATGTTTTTAAAATTATAAATTAACACAATTTGTTTCTAGACAGTCTACAATGTATCAAAGTACTAAGCTAGGTGTTAGAAAGACATACAAGAACAAAACCCAGTTCTTATCCCAACAGGCTCAGAGTCTAATAGGCAAAGACAGGCATACAGTGAATGTTTATAAGTATCACAGATGAAGTGGGAGACACAAAGAATAAAATGGTCAGTTCTGACAGTTATTAAAATTTCTTTAAATTTAAAAATGTTATGACTTTATAAAAACACTTTGTAGTGCTCACATCAGTGGTAGCACATATATTAAAATTGGAATGGTAGAGACAAGATTAGCGTGGCCCTCATGCAAGGATGACATGCAAATTCATTAAGTGTTCCATAAAAAAAAATAAAAAATAATTAAAATTTAAAAATAAAAACAGGTTATAACTCTTGTCTTTAAAAGGAAGTCCTTGGGACGCCTGGGTGGCTCAGAGGTTTAGTGCCTGCCTTTGACCCAGAATGTGATCCTAGAGACCTGGGATCGAGTCCCACATCAGGCTCCCTGCATGGAGCCTGCTTCTCCCTCTGCCAGTGTCTCTGCCTCTCTCTCTCTGTCTCTCATGAACAAATGAAATCTTTTAAAAAAATAAAATAAAAGGAAGTCCTCACATCCGTTAGGATAGCTATTTAAAAAGCAAACAAACAGAAAATAACAAGTGTTGGAGATGATGCAGACAAATTAGAACCCTGTGTACTGCTGGTAGGAATGTAAAACGGTACATCTCCTACAGAAAACAAAATGGCAGTTCCTCAAAAAATTAAACAGAATTACCATTAATCCAGCAATTCCACTTCTGGCTATAAACCCAAAAGAAGTGTAAGCAGGAATTTCAAAAGACATCTGTACACCCATGTTCACAGCATGTTATTTACAAAAGTCAGATAGTGGAAACAACTCAAGTATCCATCCACAGATAAATAAAATGTGATTAATACATACAATAGAATATTATTCAACTTTAAAAAGGAAGGAAATTCTGATACATGCTACAACATGGATTAACTTTGAAGACATTATCCTTAGTGAAATAAGCCAGTCATAGAAGGACAAATACCATATGATTCCATGTGTATGAATTATCAAGAGTATCAAATTCACAGAATCAGAAAATAGAAAGTAGGATGGTAGTTTCCAGGAATTAGGATAAGAGAAAGTAGGGAGTTACTGTTTAATGGATATAGGGTTTCAGTTTTGTGAAATGAAAAAAAGTCGGGGAGGGCAGAGGAAAGGAAGAGAGAAACATTTAGGTAGCTCTATATAAAACAAAAAGTAGTGAAGCAATTAAGCAATAGCACAGTACTGGGATTGAGAAACCGTTCATGCAAATCAACTATGAAATTTAAGTCAGCTATTTTAATGTTTCAGAGGTTTAAATATCAAATGTGAAAGTGTTTTGTAGTTGAATAGTTTTACAAGTGGGAAAAGAGGAAGAGAGAACTAATGTTAAGTGCAAAACGAAGTTAACAAAAAGAGTACATTGCTCTTACCATTATCATTATAACTTGATAAACATAGAGCAAACACGGTTTTTATGTCCAGAAAAATATTAGCAAATCTGTTTAAAACAGTCTAGTGTACTATCCTCAGAGATAGCGATTCAAAAACAATTTTTTAAAAATTTCTACGATGATTCTGAGATATAGTCAATTTTGAGAGAAAAAGATTACCTAACCATAATCAGGGTTCCTAAAAATGTTAAAACTACAATCATTTTGTCTCATCGTTCTCTAGTCTCTGAAGACTATTTTTATTTTTTTAAAATTTTTATTTATTTATGATAGCCACACAGAGAGAGAGAGAGAGAGAGAGGCAGAGACACAGGCAGAGGGAGAAGCAGGCTCCATGCACCGGGAGCCCGATGTGGGATTCGATCCCGGGTCTCCAGGATCACGCCTTGGGCCAAAGGCAGGGGCTAAACCGCTGCGCCACCCAGGGATCCCCTGAAGACTCTTTAAAGTGAAAATTAGGATCATTAGTAATCTGTAGGAATCAGAACTAAACCTATTCCCAACCTTGAATTACCCCCAGAATTGGGTTTCTTTTATCTAGTGCTTGATTCAGACATCAGTCAGGAAATGGTTAAAAGTTATGCATAATTGGGATGCCTGGATGGCTCAGCAGTTGAGATTGAGCATCTGCCCTTGGCTCAGGTCCTGATCCTGGAATCTGGGATCGGGATCGGGTCCTATGTCAGGCTCCTTGAGGGGAGATTGTTTCTCCCTCTGCCTGAGTCTCTGCCCTCCCCCCACCCTGTGTCTTTCATGAATAAACAAAATCTTTTTTTTTAATTATGCATAATTATCCCACTATAAATTAATATTATGAACCTAATAGGTTCTCAAATATCTGCTATGGGTTCTACTCAAAAGTTCTTTTATTTACCTTTTTAAAAGATTTTTTATTTATTCATAGAGACAAGAGAGAGAGAGAGAGAGAGAGGCAGAGACACAGGCAGAGGGAGAAGCAGGCACCATGCAGAGAGCCTGACATGGGACTCATCCAGGGTCTCCAGGATCACGCCCTGGGCTGCAGGCAGCTCTAAACCACTGTGCCACTGGGGCTGCCCAAAAGTTCTTTTATTTGATTTTCAACATCTGGGTGCCCAAGAAACAGTTCCAGTAATCCAAAGGTAAGGCCCACAAGAGATTTTTGGCAGAAGCATTTTTTACCTAACTAGTAAGCCACATAAACCACAGGGTACTTAATATCTAAAGACTTGTCCTCTGTTGCCACTATTTACATAGCTATTCAAGCTACCAGGTATGAAGAACTAGTTGTTTTTATTGTTTAATTTCTAAGCGCTGAGGACCAGTACTTTTCTAAAACAATAAAACTGGGCTTGAGGGTGGCATGAAGAGGTTACAAGTTCTCTCCTTAAAACACATGTATTAAACTGAACAAAACTGTCAGAAACAACTTTTCAGGGCTATAGAAATCAATCAAAGGCCACAACAAATTACTGAGAAACTGCTAGTGTCTTAGGTAAGAACAATGAAGTCTGTACCCTTCTTGCCTAGGACTGCTCCCATTCACATCTCCTGCTCCATGGAGAACAATAGCTTTAACCAGGACAGGGCTAGCTATAAAAATAGCAGCTTTATTGCCAAAGAAGGCTAGCTAGAGAGGAGGGCAAAACTCCACAGCTCTCTCAGATAAAGTGGATAACTTAGAAATAAATGTAAAAAACAAACAAACAAAAACAAAAAACAACAAAAAAACCCACCTTGCTGCCTTGCTAGCCTGAAGTTGAAGTGTTGGTTAAGTGAGAGGTAAACAAGAAATTTAAAAGGGAAATCCTGGAAATAAAAAAGAAACATAGAAAAGCTGTATTCATTCTCTACACATTCCTAGCTAAATAGGAAACGAGAAACTATGCACGTGCACGGAGAAACCTAAGAGCCAGTGGAAAGTAAAAGTGAAAACAAACTTAAGATCAGCCTGAACTTTGAGGTCCTCCTCAACCCACAGTTTAACCAGCAGAAAATAAAAGTTTATGCATTTTAGATGTTTAGCAAAACCTCAGTCTAAATCACTGGCTGACCAATAAACACTGCAGACACAGGGACAATCCCTAAAAAGCAAAAGTAAAAAATAAAAGTTAGAATTTAAAAATATGTGCAGATACATTTGTGACTGTACACATGGGACAGGTAGAGAGGTAGATATCCTAGTTTATGTCCAGGCTAATTATTTTTAAAATACCTTCAAGAAAATAAAATAAGAATCCAGAGTTAACTATCTGTTTAAAAAAAGCCAAGAAAGAGGGCAGCCCTGGTGGCTCAGCGGTTTAGCACCGCCTTCAGCCCAGGGCCTGATCCTGGAGACTGGGGATGGAGTTCCACATCGGGTTCCCTGCATGGAGCCTGCTTCTCCCTCTGCCTGTGTCTCTGCCTCCCTTTCTCTCTGTGTGAATAAATAATGAAATAATATGAATGAATATTATTCATTCACTCATGAATAAATAAATACAATCTTAAAAAAAAAAAGCCAAGAAAGAAAGAAAGACTCATACATAGGAAAAACACCATCAATGGAAACGGGACTCTTAAAGGGTCCACCAAGTTGGTATACCTAAGCAATAAAAGCTTCAAAACAGCTAATAAAAATATTTTCAAAAAATTAAAGGAAAATACAGTCCTAATGATTCAACAAAGAGAATCCCAATAGAGAAATAGACACTATAAAACTAAAAAGAAATTCTAATTGAAAATATAATACCCAAATGAAAAATTCACCAGACTTAATAGCAAATTTGAGACAGAAGAAAAAAAATCAATGAAATTGAAAAGAGATCAATAGGAATTAAGCAATCTATATAAAGGAAGAACAATATGAAAAAAAATTTTGAAGAAAAAAGAAAAATGTTCCTTGGTCACCTGCAGGATAACATTAAGCTTACTGATATACACATCACAGGATTCCTAGCAGGAGAGGAAAGAGAGAAAGGGGCAGGAATAATTTTTTTGATAAAACAATGGCCAAAATTTGATGAAATTCCCAAGAAATCCATACCAAATTCCATCAGTCAAACTGCTAAAGACAAAGAGAAAATCTTGACAACAAAAAAAAAGGACTCATAGCAAACAGAGGAACAACAATATGACATATTTAGTGGAAAAGCACATTCTAAGTGCTGAATTCTATAGCCAGCAAAACTATCTTTCAAAAATTAAGATAAAATAAAGATATTCAGATTAAAAAAAAAAAGTCTGAAAGACTCCATTCCTGTCAGACTTGTGTACAAGAAAAACTAAATCCTTCAGGCTGAGAGGAAATAAAACCAGACAGTAACTCAAATCCAGAGGAAGGAATTAAGGGCACTCAAAATGGTAAATATAAAGACTACATATATATTTTTTCTCTTTTCTCCAAATTTCTTCAAAAGTAATAATTCTTATCTCTTTAAAGTAATAATTATAACAACATATTGTTGGGGATACGGAGTATGAAAGTAGGGAAGAGGAAACAAGGCTATATTGGAAGAGAGTTACTATATTTTACCGGAATTAAGTCAGTATTAACCTGAAGCTTGTGACAAGTTAAAGACGCATAACTGCAATTCTAGAGCAATAAAATGATTTATTTTATTAATTAATAAAATAAAATAACTAATAAAATAACTAAGAAATAGCTTTTAAAAATCAGAGGAATTAATACAAAGAAGTATAAAATATAAAGTAATATAAAGATAAAATACAAAAATATATAAAAAGGCAGCAATAAAGCAGGTGCAGAGGAACGAAAAAATAAGATTTAGGAAACAGCAAATAGCAGACATAAACCCAATCATTCTGATAAATACACTAAATGTTGAATGGATTAATCAAAATGCAGTTGTGAGAC